TAGTGAGAGTGATAAAATATCGTTGGGAGATAACAGAGAAAACAAGGATTTTCGTACATAATATTTGTACAGTGTTTTAATGTTTATTAAAAAGATTATGCGCCTGGACCTTACGAACCCTAATCTCAATCTCAGTCTCAACGTCAGTTTTGATCTTAAAATTAATCTCAGCCGTAAGCTGAATCTTAATCCTAACCCAATCATAATCTTGAGCAGCTGTGCAGCACGTTTCGATAAATCAGACTTAATACGAGGGGACTAACAAAAGTTTGGTAAATTGATTATACTGTAAGCGTAAGTTGAAGTGAGGTGAGGTGAATTGAGATGAAATGAGGTGAATTTGGGTGAGGTGGGTTAAGGTGAGGTGAACTGAGAGGAGTTGAAGTAATTTGAAATGACATAACATAACATTACACGACATAACATAGCATAACATAACACAGCATAACATAACATAGCATAACATAACATAACATAGCATACCATGGCATATCTCGTTCTTCAGTTTTATATTTGTCTCTAATTTATATCTATCTATATCTATCTTTGTCCCTATCATTTTTATCTTTATGTTTATTACAAGTTTTTTTTATAATTATATTTGTTTTGTCATTTTCATATTTTTCTTTAACTTTAGTTTAATCTTTAACTTCATTCTTTTCTTCATCATAATATTCAACCGCACTTTTGTCATTATATTACTCATATTAAAAATTTTTATTGAGCTTGAGGCCGTTATTAATGAAAACTTTTGGGGAAAGAAATAATTTTAATTTTTGGTAGAAGTTATAGCTGCTAAATCAGAGATCACCACATCTCCTCTCCAGACTTCGTCATCGAGTTAACTGGGATTTGAACTCGCAACTCCAGCGTTCAAAGCCAGTGGTCTTACTTGTTGCTTTTTCAACTTTTTCATTTAGTCTCTCCATCTACAATCAAAGGCAAATATTCTGTAGCTATTCAGACTTGATCATGTGGTAGTTGTTATTTTTTGTTATGCTCTATTTTTAGAATATTAACTTGAAGGCGCGCTCGCCCTTAAGTACTTACTTTGTTTTTGTTATTTTTCGCCCCAAGAACCATTTATCTTGAAAAATTTTTATGGAGCTTGAGGCCGTTATTTAAATTTTCATCGACAAAAATGTTTTTTTTTTGCTAAAGAAATGTATTGAAACTAATGGTGATTATGTAGAAGAGATAAAAAACAAGTAATTTTTAGCAAAAAAAACCCGACTTCAACTCCCATATAAAATATATATATATATATATATATATATATATATATATATATATATATAAACATAAAGATAAATATATATATATATATATATATCTCATGATCCACTGATCGGATCTCAACCAGATTAGTATGGGACCACCTCTGAGATACTACCTTTCCGATGCAAAATTATCGAAATCGGTTAACGTGATCCCAAGTTATGCGGTAACATACATAAAAATAAAAAATAAAAAATATTCCAACGAACTGATAAGCTCCTCCTTTTTTGGAAGTCGGTTAATAATAAAGAGAACTAAAAAATTAAAAATAATTTTTTTCCAAGCAACTCACAGAATTTTTGTTAGCCCCTTCGCATTAACGGCAAGATAGAGGGAAGGAAGAGAGATGTGCTTTGACTGTACCCAAGCGTAAAATTTTTTAGGAAACCTTTTTAAGTTTATTATAGCTGGTAAAGCTTCACATAGAACACCATTCAACATCTTCTTTGACTTCATCCAATGGAGGTTGACATCCTTATTTTTCTTGATCAGTACTGGTTTTACAAGGCTATTTACACGTGGCCGTGGTGTAAATTCAACGACCACGAGAGGTTTTGAAAAGAGGTTTTTCTGACTGGATATTTTCTATCCTTATCCTGTTGGAACCAGAACAATCAGCAAGAAATGTGATTCTGTTATATCCGTTTATCACCTCTCAAATATAGTGTATAAGGTCTTATCGAGGGAACAGTGCGAAATGTTAAAGACAGCCGTCAAAGAACTGATTAGGCCAGATGAATCTACTAACTATAAACCAGCTATTCAGCATACGGAGATTTTTGAAAAGTACTGCGTGAGGAGGATGGAAACTCACCATCACTTTGCCCATTTAAATCTGTTTGTAAGCACGAAAATGAGCTGCCCCTACCACGGGAAGTCTGAATTTGGTATACCTGCGAAATCCTAGAGTTTATTGAAAAAGGAGCTCCAAGAAACTTCAATCTTAGCCTCGCAAAAGCTGTACAGCCTGGTAGAAAGTATTGAGAATATATAACAGAACCCTCGTCGCAAGAGAAAGGTGTGGCCTTTAAGTATAACGAGCTTCTCTGACCGGGCCCGGCCCACCCAGCGCCAGACAAATTCAGCATTCAGCGTTTGCTGAGCTGGAAACCTATAGGAAAATTTAGTGAGCATTTTTTTCGTAGAATTTTAACGCAGACCAAAATCCGTCGAATGGGTTCGTACTACGGTACGAAGCCCAAAAAATGTTGCTAGTTCCGTTCAAAATCGAATCGGTTCGAATCCGCTTTGGATGCCTTACTGATTTTTATTTATAAACCGCAACTGATCATCTCCTAGACCACCTTAAGCTTGAGTTTCGAAAGTTCCATTGAAGTTACACTAGAGATAGAAGGATAGTACCGTGGTGTAAGGGGACAAAGAGGAGCTAAAATTGCTTTTGAGCGGTGGGATGTAAATAGGAATGTATGTACAGTGAGTGTCAGTGAAAACCGCAACAAAATCCACAAAATTCTAACCTTGTAATAATTAAAAAAAGTAGTCAGATTTTCAGGTTCCCGGTGTACCGATATCTCCCTAAATTGGGTAACTTGCAAAAAATATAATGATGTGAAAAGAAACTACTTTTTACTTCATTTGAATCAAGTTTTCCGATTTACAGTCAGTAAAAAGGGGTGACCACAAAATTACTTTTGCGGAGGATTTTGAGGCATATTTGTTTGTTCTAGCTGATCATAAAAAGCACGGCTAAAGTTTAGATTGGAGAATATGTACCGAAATACTCGAAAAAACTCTGCACTGTCTTGGAAAAATCCCGAGGTAGTCTGACTTGCCATAATTCTATCTAATCTAGCTCTTTTCTTTAAGTACATTTCCAATCAGGAAAATCAAAGAGGCATTTTACCTCGACAGATATGTTTAAAGTGGTCTCAGCTCAATGTGCTAAAGAGAACTGAAACACATTACTGCCTAAATTGTGAACATGGGTATATATATTTTGAACTTGAAGCCTATCCTACTAATCATGTCTAAAAAAATAGAGTAAATACATCCTAGGAGGTCTCCTTACGGGTACTTTCTACAAACGGGTATTTTTTTTTATATAGTTCCTTCCCTTTATGAAAAATTGGGGTTTTGTACAAAATTACCGAAATCCCTACATAAAAAAATTGCTATTTTTCCCCACTGTACCTTCAGCAAGTGCAGTATTATCTGCGACATATGAAGACAGCGTAGTCAGCCATAAAATAAGCACAGTAACATCGGCAATAAAGCCAACAACATTTTGCACTTACAACCAAATTGATTTGTAACGATTTGATATTTCCAACCAATTCCGCAAGGCAGACATACCCACAACTTTTCGCACAAACACAAGCATAAGCATTTATAGAGATGAAATATTTCAAATTTTCGAAATTGCAAAACGACCGTAATATTGTTGGTAATAAAATTTGGGCCTGGAGCGGAAGAAAATTTTTGTGGCCGTTTACGGTGATGCTGTGCAAGAGCAACGGTGAGAAAGTTGTGAGATGACGATTTATTGCAAACAAAAATTGAGTGAATTTTCGCCATTATTGTCGAGAAATGCAAATTTTAGCCGAAGCTGTGTGGAAAACTAAACATTTATGGGGGGCAAAATATAAATATTTGGAAATAAAAGGAAAATATGTAGCTGATAATTGAATTTCTGCTCCGTTTTTTGAACAACAAACTATTTACTAGTAAAAATAGTAAAATAGTTTTGGTTTAAAAATTTGTTCGTTTGTTTTTCGCCTGTTATTTTCTTATTTTCGGCAACAGTCAGTGCAATGATAAATTACCCCATTTGTGTGCTTTTATTTCCACACTAACCGGCGTTTAAGTGACAGCCCCAACTGAAACTTTCTCGGTCAGGATTTTCTGAGATTTGTTTTCAACTACAAACAGCTTTTGGTTTTCTCATTTTTATTTTTCTATGTAAATATTTTGCTTGCTGCACACAGTTTGAAATGGAAAGTTTGCTACAATTTCCTTTCGCCATACATATTTAAAAGTTGGCCAAAACAAAGGCATTTCGGTTTCCTTTCGCGCGATCGCGACAATTTTTATCGCAAACAAATGGGCAAACAAAAGCTTGTAGCTGCTGTGGAAAATTGTGGTTTTGTATTGTTGTTGTTGTGATTCACAAGTGCTGCGCTTGTAATTTACCGTTTTTGTGAAATCCGTGTGATCTGTGGTAGCAGCTTTAATTTATTACACTTTGTCTATTACTACGTTTATACGCACAGAATAATCGACTTAATTCAAAGCGCATTGACACCGTACACATTTCGCTGTAGTGTTTATGCTTACGGCTTTATATCGGCATCAAAGTAACCGTCTTCAAAAGCAAACAAAATCAGCTGTTTTCATTTGACATTTTATAAGTTAACGTAATGGAAAGTGAGAAAAATCTAGTTTTATTCGGCATTATAAAATCGTGGCAAAGAAAAAGAACGATTGTTATTAATCAGCTTTTAAATACTGATGCGAATATTTGGAATTCAAACAATGAAAAAAGAAATAATGTGAGAGAATTGGTTGGGTCCCAGGCTAATTTACCAAACATATTTTTTGCTACGAATATGCCTCGAATTCGACGTTTCCACAAACGGAAAAGGAAGGAGAACTTCTGGTGGACGCTGCAGCAGCCAGAAAATGATGAGTGCTACATCGAAGCTTTCCGTATGAGTAAAAAATCGTTCCTACTGCTTTGCGAAAAACTAGAGTGCTTTCTTAAAAAACGATTGTGTGCCATGTATCACTCCACCCCTTGCTATAGAGAAGCAAGTAGCCATTTGTTTATATAAATTGGCTTCCTGTGGAGAATACCGAGTTATTGGTGATGTCTTTGGTGTGCACAAAAGCACTGTTCACAAATATTTTCACCTCGTCGTGAACGCGTTAATTCAGCTAAAAACAGAGTTTATCAAGTTTCCACAGGTGGGAGATGCGTTATTAATTGCAAGTGAATTTGAGAAAAAATCGCATATACCAAACATTATTGGCGCTATCGATGGTAATTTTAACCAACCTGAAGGCTTATATGCATATCCATACATAACTAAAACTCTGGAAATTAAACATTTTAGGAACCCACATACCGATCTTGCCACCAAGTCAAGGATACCTAGATTATATTAATAGAAAGGGGTGGCCTTCCATCGTAATGCAAGGAGTGGTGGATAGCAACTACATGTATGTATATGCATGCATATGTACATTAGAACCAATGGGAAACATTTTTACATTTTGTTACTTTAGTAGATAAATAAAGGCGGACCTCCATAGTATGCGCATCCGTATGCGTGCGTTTGACATTTACGCTTAGAAATCAAAATTCATACAATTTTCTTACATTTTGATGCGTTGCTATGTAGGTGCTGCCATAAACATTTGTATATTCAATTTTTCTGTCAAACGCACGCATACGTATACGCATGCTATGGAGATCCGCCTTAAGTTGTTAAAATACCCATATTATATAACGATATATTGTAAAAAACTACATTTTTTTATTAAGGTTCACAGATGTCAGCGTTAAGTTACCTGGAAGCACTCATGACGCGACGGTTTTTAAGGAGTCGGGATTGTTTAAAAACTCATCGACATTAATTCCGAGGCATACAAAATTAATAAATGGTGTTGAAACGCCACTATTTCTTATTGGAGATCCTGCGTATCCACTTCTTCCCTGGTTAATAAAACCATACACCGGAAGTTTGAATGCAGCCGAAGAATCTTTTAATTGCCACTTGAGTTCTGCCCGAATAGTCGTCGAAAATGCTTTTGGTCGACTTAAAGGTCGTTGGCGATGCCTAACTAAAAGAATTGATGTGAATCCTACTTTCGTTCCGCAAGTTGTCTTAGCTTGTGCTATATTACATAATTTTGTTGAACAACAGAAAGAATCCTATTTAGAAATGTGGGCACAATCAGCTCTAAATATAAGAGAATTTCGGCAGCCTCAAGACACCTTTTCTAGTGAAATAATTTTTGATGACAATGTTGACCCTAAGCATTTGCGAAACAATTTGAAAAATTTTTTAAAAGACAATTTTCCTTTGAAAACCACTTATTTTAATTACTGACTACCAAACTCAAAAAGACTAATTATATAGCTTTAGTAAGAAGCAATTATAATTAAAAGCTATCATAATTCTTTACCACTGATCAAAATAATAGCACCTAGACATTTTGACCAGTTCTGACTATTTTTCTTTTGTTTGCTTAACGTTCGCCGATTTTTCAGAAAATTATAGCGCATTATATGACAAAAGCCATATAACTCCAAACTTCAGTTTTTATACAGAGCTTAGAAAAATTCAACAAATTTTCATTAAAATTTTGAACTTTTATTCTGAATTTCTAGAAAATTTTTGGGTACAGCCCATACAATTTTAGTCAGATGAAGTGCAAGTTTAAACCTGCTAAAAATCGCGTTGATTTTTTTAGTTTTTTTTGCTGACGACTTTAACGTTTTTTTCATACAACAAGTGCAATTTATAAAATATGACGGTGATTTGTTTAAAATTTCTTAGCAAACGGGCTTGTGCATTTTCTTCCATAAGAAATGCATGCCAGCAAACTGCAAGACTATAAAATTGCATACCCAAAAATTTTCTAGAAATTCAGAATAAAAAGTTCAAAATTTTAATGAAAATTTGTTGAATTTTTCTAAGCTCTGTATAAAAAGTGAATGTTAGAATTAAATGTCTTTTGTTAAAGCATTAACCATACTTTAATAAAAAATAACAAATATTTCAAAAACGGTGACACTTTTGCCTTAAATTTGTTTGCTTATCAGGGAGCTCACCCCACCACCTACCATCTCCTCAAGTTAGGCTTGTTATTTTCGGACACCCTGTATAAAAGAAAAATAGTCCGACCTGATAAAACTGTTCAGGTGCTATTGTATCATACATTTTAGTTAAAGAAACTAGCTGTATTATTTTATAATTACTTTAAAATTTGTTCAAATACTTTTGAAACTTTCATTTAATTATAATTTTCTTTGTCTGTTTCAACGCACTTGAGATGAGAAATTGAATGAAATTTTGTAATGAAAAAATGAATATTTTACGTTGGCCTAGTTATTAAAAAAGCATCAGTTATGTTTTTAAATTTAAATTTTTAATTAAGTTAATTTAATTTTTATATGGCGTCGTACCGAAGTCCTATCTAGCGATGCGATAACTCAAAAACTAATAAACATAAGTACGTATATGTATGTATAAATATGCATAAGCGCATGTTGATTTAATTTTATTTAATGTATGCCAACAGTATATTAAACATTTAAAAAAACAAAAAGTTCACAAAAGACTACAAATAAATGCATTTCGTACTCATTATATGTTTATATACAGCGGCGCTCACGTAAATCGCACACCTAGATTTTTTACAATGTCACGTTTTCGTAAAGTTTTTGTAAAAATATAGTAGATTCTATAACATAAACCATATAAGGCAAAGTTAAAAACCGTGTGCACAATTCAGGAAATTTTTTTAAAGATTTAAAAAAAAATTCATCAAAATTTTGCACTTTTCAGAATCCTTAGAAACTTATGGGGTATGCAGTTTTGTAGCCTATTCAATTCTAGTATAATAAATCATAAATATAATAAATCACGTTAAACACTGAATATTGTAAACAACGAAAGTGTGCTCTTTACGTGGGCGCCACTGTAAATGTAATTGAAAATATGAATGTTGTGAATGAAACAAGCGATGAAAAGTGTTTATTCTGGAGATTGCTGTGACTTAAAAATATCAAATTCACCAGGCGTTGCTGATACGATATCCGGGGCCAAAGCAAGTGAGGGTGAGAGAAAATGATGAGGCATGTAAACAGGAATGTTTGACGGTTGTGACATCTGCATCGTGCTTAACAGAGAAGAAAACATCTTGGCGGTTTCGTGGCGATCATCCTCTAACATTTTTTGCGTCTCTTTGCGATTTCTTTCTAATAGAAGTTCCACTTTACTAAAATGGGTTTCGTCTTGCTTCTTCAAGGAATCGACTAAGTTTTCCTGCGTTTTTTTTCCACTCGTTTGTAAAAGACTCCATAGCTTTCAGATATGAGTTTTTTTCTGAAAATACATAACATGTCTTTATGATATGCAAACACGTCTTTAACCACAATACTTAACGCACTTTGATTTTTGAACGTTTTCGGATTACGAGGAGTACTGCATGCGGGACTGGATTCCGAACCATCGGCATGCTCGTTTTCTTCAATACAATCTGCTTCCACTTCTAAATAGCTGCTTTGCGAAGTATTTGTGTTGTCTGCTGGCCGCTCGGTTTGTGAAGTGTCCACGCCCTCTACAGATACTGCAGGTCGATGACCAAGCACTTCATCTAACATTTCGAAATAATCACAGGTTTGTCTTTCAGCACCACTGCTATTATTATTCCGCTTGGCTTTGTAATAATCGCTTTTCAGCGATTTGAACTTCGCTCTAATTTGGATGGCGTCCTTTTTGATTCCTTTGGAATTCAATGCACGAGCCACTTCTTCAAAAATGCTTCGATTCCTTTTTATTTTGCTGTCCAACAATTTTAATATATGCTTTTCTTTTATAATAGAAATCATTTCTATTATTTCTTTTTCTCTCCATATATTTCTTTTCTTTTTATTTTCCATTTTATTTCACATTTCACACCAGCTTGTATTTCTTTGCTGAAAATCAACTTGAGTTTGGCATACAATGCTGCCATTCCTCTTCAATAAGAGCTGCAGCAGAAAACTTTAGTAGCACTGAAGTTTTTGAAACAAATTAAGCTTTAATTCGCATGAAAAAAAATTGGTAATACTTGAAATATACTTTATTTAAGATAAATAATTTACTATCAAATGTGTTAATAAATTAGTTAATGTTTTACTTTACAATGTTAAAACAAATTGCAATAAATCTTAAATTAAAGAAATTGTGGTAACACTGTTCGTATGCTACATTGAGCGGAACAGCTGATCTCCAATTCGCTTTGAGTGAGAGCGGTGTTTATACACTCTTTCTAACTGTCTGGAGAAATAAACTACCGATTTGAAATGGAGTGTGAGCCAAAACACTTCGCTCTTTCAAAGCGAATTGAAATTCAGTTTATACATATGTTCTGAATCGCGGCGAAATGAATTAAAGCGACTTAGGCATGCGTATAAACGTAGTATATGTTTGCAAGTATATACTGAGATACTTATGTAGTACTTCGTTAGTGGTGACAGTGAATGCTTAAATATTTTCGATAAAATTGGTGGTGATTAGTTGAGACAGGCATTTGCATATTAAATAAACTGAGGGTCCTTGGTGAAGGTATTAAATAGTCGGCCGGCTGTGGCAAAACTTTTGAACGCAAACAGGATTTGAGCAGCAAGCATATTTAATCACCAGTCACTTTTTAACCGACTTCCAAAAAAGGAGGAGGTTATCAGTTGGTCGGAATATTTTTTATTTATTTTTTTTCCTTTTTTTATGTATGTTACCGCACGTCAACCGATTTCAATAATTCTTTTTGCAACGGAAAGGTAGTGTCTCAGAGGTGGTCCCACACTAATTTGGTTTAGATCCGATCAATGGATCATGAAATATATAGATATATATATATTTTTTTGAAGTCGGTTTTTTTTTGCTAAAAATTACTTGTATTTATCTAAAGGCAAACATATTTAAGAAAACGTATCAGATTTTCTTAAAGAAACGATATTTCAGATATGAAAAAAATGTAGATATTGCTGGTATTGCTGAAACATTATAGTTATCGATAAATTTATCGATATTGATATCGTAATAAAAATTTATCGATTGATTTTTATAGTCATCGATAATCTTTGTTACGGAAATAGTTTAATTTTAATTTAAAGTCTGAGTAATTATTAAGAAATATGTATAACTGACTTTACGAGCCCCTTGGTGTATTTTTAGTTCCAATTTTTTCAAAGCAAAGATATTTTAGAAATATGAAACAAATAACGATATCATAATCGATATAATTGCTGAAATATTTTTAGTTAACGATATATTTTAAAATTTTGCTATCGTTACGAAAATTTATCGTTATTTTTTTATTGTTATCGATCATTTTTGTTTAGTGAAAAGAAATAATTTTTAATTAAAATCAGCGTAGTTACAAACAAATATGTAAAACTGTGTGTCACGAATTTCTTGGGATGCTTTTGATATTGCGGACATCATTCAAAATTACTAAGATGTTTATAGCCATCGATATATGCATTTCCCGTTATAGCTATCGATAAATTTGAAAACTATTACAGTTATCGATATGCTTTCCGAATTTGACATCGTTATTAATAATGTTTTACCCAAATAATTTGGAAACTTTTTACATTTATAGTTGATGAAACGTACAACATTTATAGTTGTCGATATACTTTCTGATATTGCTGTCGACATACTTATCAAAATATTTTTGCGTTTTCGATAAATTGTTATTCATTTAATTTGAAAAATTTTTACATTTATATTTATCGATATGTTTCGCAATATTGCAGTCGATATATTTTTATAGAAAATATCAATTTTTAACTCAAATAAAAAGTTTCAGTCAGCATCATAGATATATACTACTCAAGATACTAGGGACATGGATTTAACAGATGTTAGTAGAGAAACTTTATCAATAAAAAAACGGAGATATTTTTAGTTATGGACTAATACCCGATATTTCTATCGGCATATGCCTATCGTTATTTATCGATAATCTTTTGCTATCGATATATTTATCGCTATATTTTTATTGATGCCGATAGTTTTTACTCAAAAAAATTTGAAAACTTTTTATATTTATAGTGAACGGAATTTTACTGTAAAGTGCTAACGATATGTTTTTATCGATACCGATATTTTTACTCAAATGCAAATGTTTATGATAATTTTTTTTTATTTAAGTAATTATTAGGATACT